GAAAGAAAGAAAGAAAGAAAGAAAGAAAGAAAGAAAGAAAGAAGGAAAGAAAGAAAGAAGGAAAGAAAGAAAGAAAGAGAAAGAAAGAAAGAGAAAGAAATGAGACAAGGAGGGAAAGAAAAGACTTATACAAAAATGTTCATAGTTGCTTATTAATAACAGTCTCAAACTGGGAAAACTTGAGTGTCCAGCAGCATAATTAATAAGAATTGTACTGCACTTATACCACAGAATACATTCAATAATAAAATCAATAAATGACTGCTACCATTGATGACATAAACCCCACAAGCATTTGCCAAGGCCAAAGAAACTAAATGTAATACGTGGTTCTTTATGTCTGAAGCCCTACAAAAGGCAGAACTAGCCAATAGGAAAAGCAGGCAGAAAAGAGATGGCTGAAGTAGAAGGCAAGGAGTGGGAACTGACAAGAAGCGTGTCAGTAATAAAAACGTTATAGCTCCTCAGGGGACACGCGGAGCCCAGTGTCACGCACAGGACTCCTGTTCTGTGCACACCACTCTCTAAAGCGTCAACCAGTCCACTGAAAACAGTATCTGCTTTCTTCTGTGTCCTAAGGAGCATCTGTCCTGAGAGACGTGTCATAGCAAATAAAAGGTTCAAAAAGCCAAACAAGTTGGCCAATATCCGATTCCATTACTTCCATCTCTAGGAAATACACTACACCAGGCAAGATTTATGAGGGTGGTAATGGTGATGCTCCAGAACCCTGGTCAATTTTATTCAACCTAAAGTTTAGAGAAAAAAAAATACTTCTGACTCTTTCTTTCTTTCTTTCTTCTACTTTGACATGGCAAATTATAAGTAATCTTCAAAAACACTGCCAGTCTTAAAATTGTCAGTGGCCACCTCTGATTAAAAAATTATAAACAGGCTGAGCACAGCTGTTCACAGCCACAACCCAGCACGGAGGAGGCCAGCGCAGGAGGCCCAATGCAAGTGTGAAGCCAGGGTGTGCCACAAAGCTAAAACCTGTCAGAAAAGACAACAAAGGAGAGTGCCAAGCCACTTCCACAATTATTTTTGAAAAAGAACCCTGAACAGAGCTAAAAGAAAAATTGTAAAGTTACATCGGACCATTCCTATACCAGAGCCTTTGGTAGGAAATCTTCATTACTTTAAATATTAATCAATGCTGATTGCTTCCAGTAAGAACTTTTAAACTGTAGCCTTATTCTCACATATCCATTCATGATTTATTTTGTTCCAGTAACTGGCATTACAAAAAGTTTCAGAAAGTTGGCGAAAGGACAGTATGAACCTTTGTAAAGTAAGAGTGTGTAGTGTTTACCAGCAGACTTTTCTATGCACTGGATTCTCTTTTTAAAATCTACTATTTTGTGTGTGTGTCATGGCTGGCTGGGGCACGTATGAGCCACACCTCACATGCACTCATTGGACAACTTTGTTGAGTCAGTTCTCTCCAGCTTTCACATGGATTCTGGGGACAGAAGTCAGATCACTAGGCTTGTATAGTATCTGCCATCAGCCGCTGGCCTCCAAGACAGTGGAGATCACACAAGATCTTCCATCCCTTCACCAAAGTAGAAAGGGTTAGCTTTGCTCTAGGGGAACTGCAGGAGGCCAATGAGTTACAACCTTATTCTAGAGAGGAGGGCGCATTACAATTTAGCATCCGCTTGATTTTCTAACAAGATGATATAGACTATTAACTGCTTTTCTAGCAACGACATTGAATTTGCTTTTAGGCTGGCCATTTTCTCATGTTTTCTTGTGAGTCTCATAGCAGTCTTTCACAATGCTTGTCCATTAGTAGCTAGCTGTGGGACCCTGGAAGAGGCAAACTAGCTGAACCCCTATTTTTCATCTACAAAACAACAACAACAAAAGGGAGCTATATTACCATACAAAGCTGTTGCAAAAGCCAAGGTAATTAAAAGAAGCAAAAGACAAATGTCACTTGCATAATCAATGTCTCACAGACATGGGGTCCCAGAACCAAGGGCAGCTCTGCTTGTCACATGACACATGGACATCCCTCTCCAACATTTACAGCGATTAAGTTATAAACACAAATAAGAGGAAAATATGTGCCAACTTAACAGAAATCATACAATTATATAAGATGTTAAACTACAATAGCTTGCTTAAAATAATAGAGCAAGAGGAGAGATGAAGAACAGAACACATGGGAGATGATTCATACCTGTGTTCACAAAACCCTCATTTCACCACAAGGATGGGATTTCCACATCGTTTACCGTTTTTACTCTACAATTATTTCTCTTCTAATTCCTTACATTGAGTCTTAATTTAAGTGTTCCTTCTGTGTGCTTCGGCTATATCTTTCTAAACTCCTCAACTGTAAACAAGAAGCCAGTCTCATTCTATTCTTTCCTTTGATGCAATTGGCAGTCCTTCTAAAGCGTCCCGAGAAATTGTCAGTTATTGCTTAGCTTATATATTGGTTCTAGTAACTGAACTACTGAGTTGTAATCTTTAAAAATTCCCAATATGAATACCATACCAGATGGAAGGTCATCCAAGGGAAATTCAAACAGTCTGGATTTGTAGACCGAGTGAAAACGAGACTCCTCCTGAAATAGCGCAAAGGGGAGAGATTAAGCACAAGTAAAGCAGGCATCTTTGGCTTCAGGCAATCATAGCTGGAGAACTGTAGCTGGACTACAACTTCTCCAGGCTTTTGAGAGGCCTTGAGCTACTGCACAGCCCCACACTTCACTGCATTCTTCTAGCACTTCAGGCACCAATTACAACCAAAATGCCTCACTGGCAGAGGAGCCAAAGAGGCAGTAATGGAATCTAAATGAATGGACCTACTTCCCCCCAGGGAATGTGAGACATCTAGGAAAATGGGTTAATAACTGGCTCCTTTCACAAATCCCTGACCCTCCTTTAAGAGCCAAATAGCTTAGATAGGCAGTGACTGCAGAGCTATACATTGTCCTGGTGTCTGTCATCAAGGTGACAGATACAAGTGATGCCTAAACTGTCTATATCCCGACATAGACAGTTCTAGAAAGCAAGAGAAAAACACAACACTTTTTCTTCTATGCAAAATCATTACACATTCAAATGATTTCATCTGGTTGCATCCGACCTCTAAAAAAATATTAGAACGTAATATTTTATAACTAAGCTATATATAACCTCTAAAATGTCAGTGCCACGCACAGTGATAGGACCACCTTAGTAGGTACACAAGTCAGAGTTTTAAACAGGGAGCAGAACAATGTGTATTCCTGGAAATCACTTCCTCTGTAAATGTTTGACCAATGTTGCATGAAACAAGGAAGTTCATTTGTATACACAAAGCAAGAATTAAAAACTATACTGTTGCCCTGTGGTCTATTATGGATATGGCCTTAGCCAAAGGCTAACAAGGATAATTATAACCCCAATGTTAACTCAATTCTTTCCTAATATGTAGCAAATAAATGTATCAACTCCTGGAAAGAGAAAGCTTCACTGGCATGTAGCCTTGAAAGCAACATGCAAAGTACAAAAGTATGGAACCAAGAAAAAAAAAGGGGGGGGAGGGCGAAAACCATGCATCTGTGGGTTTTTATCTGCTGTTGACTGAATGTCTGTATCATACCCCAGACTCACAGCAACCTGTTAGGTCATGTCATTGTGCCTGGAGAGAGGGCCAAGGAGGAAATAAGTGTTAAATGGAGCTGGGAGGATGGTGCCCTGATCCAACCTCGCTGATGTCCTCATATGGCGAGAAAGAGATGGATCACAAAAAAGCTCTCTACCAAGTAAAAACACACACAGCAAGAAAGCAACCACCTGACACCCAAGGAGAAAGCCCACAGGACACCAACCCTACTGGCATCTCAGTTTTTAATGTCACAGCCTACAGAACTGTGAGAAAATACTGTCTGCTGCAGAAGCCACAGTCTGTGATGTTTGGTGTAGTTGTCTATAAAGTAAGGCACATTACGTGACAGAGAAAACTGGTGGTTTCAGAACACATGCCAGGGGAAGCATTCCAATAAAAGAGAGGAAGGGCAAGAAAAATTAAATACTAAAAACTGTGTGCTTAATTGGTTTAATTGTGTGTGTGTGTGTGTGTGTGTGTGTGTGTGTGTGCGCGCGCGCGCGCGCGCGCGCGCGCAGTCCTGGCCCTAACAATATAAAAGTATAAGGAATTAAGAAGAATAAAGGTCTCCACATCAATGCTGACATCTGCCTGGCAAGCAGAGCACTTACCTGGGAGGTCTCATTTTCTTCTGGCTCAATGAGATATGTGTGGTTCCCATCATAGAACATCCCACTGCCAAGTACAAGAAAATAGTTAGACATAGCTATCAAGTCTCATCTACAGCAAGATCATTTTACGGTCAGCAGCACAGGAATAGTTACATTCAGTGTCTATTTCCCAGACCTACCAATCATTACCAGATACATCTCAAATTGTACAGGCATACACCACACACACACACACACACACACACCACACACTTTGGCGAGGTAAAGTTTCCCAAAGGTGGATGCTCCCATCTTGAACTCCGTGCTCAAAGATTTCATTTCCTAGCTGTTTTCCATTGTTCTTCTAACACTGACTACTAAGACTTACTATATGAAGACTACTGTAGAGTATCTTTCAGAGTGTAGGCCTTGAAGAACCTTCCTCAGATTTCTAGGCTGGGACTCTGGCAGCCATATTTAAAACAAGTCACACACCAGAGTCGCGGCATATTCCTTTAATCCTAGTATGCCTCAAATTTTTTTATTATTTTTTATTATTATTATTTTTATTATTTTTATTTATTATTTATTACAATTTATTCATTTTGTATCCCGATGTAGCCCCCTCCCTCATCGCCTCCCAGTCCCACCTTCCCTTCCTCTTCTCCTCCCATGCCCATCCCTTAGTCCACTGATAAAGGAGGTCCTCCTCATCTGATGTTAGCCTATCAGGTCTCATCAGGACTTCTGCCTCAAAAATTAAAACAAGTCTCAGATGCTGGAAGTGGTGACCTAAATTTTCAATCCCAAGAACTTACAACTGGCAGCAAGAAAGTCACAGGTTCAAGGCTGACCTGGGCAAATCCCTGAGCTCCTGTCCCGAAATCTTATGTTAAAAAGAACAGCGGGTAAGGATACAGCTTGGTGGTTGAGCATTTGCCTAACATACACACCTGTCCAGTCCTGGGAAAAACCACAACAAAGCCCACAAGGACCACTAACACCTAGATGATAGCAATGACACAGGCTGCCTGAGGTTCCGCCGAGAATGGCCTCCTCCCACACACCTGGAAGGTGCATTGGTAATTCAGCAACTTGCCCTGAACTGGATCTTTCCACATCCGTATGAGGGAGGAGTGGCGACCTTCTTCACTGAATAGAAAAGAGACTGAAGAAACCTCCCTAGATTCCATAACCCATATAAAGGTGGCAAGAAGCAATGCAGTCTGGGTACACTAACTGGTCATCAGACATTCCCTTCATTTATTCACTCAGTAGGAACTGACATAGTACCAACGATGCATCGCTGCAGACGTGGTATGTAAACAGAACAAACCGACTTCCTGTCCTCATTTTGGGAGTAATAAAAAAATAAACACACGATAAAGGAGGAGATATAAGTTAGGTGAACATGAGTTTCATGGTGGAACTCAAGCAGGTTAAAGTTAAGAACTGTCACTGGGAGACAGTGTGGGATGGCTGAGAGAGAAGGCTGCTGCCGCCTCCTAGGAGTTCAGGACACAAGCACGACCACCTACCTACACTGGTACAGAGGGCATTTCCGACAATGTCAGGTAAGAAAAGCCTTGGCATGATCCAGGAACAGTAGGAGGGCAACAGGGTGGGAGAAGAGTGTGCAGGGGACAGAGTAATAGAAACAAGCTGTCAGAGGCACGGGGGACATAGCAGGCTGTCTCTTCTGAGTGGTGATGACACCGCCATACAGGCTTCTAAACAGATGAAATGGCTTCTCCCTGTTTTGCTTTATTGTTTGGTTATTGAGACAGAATGTCAACCTTTCCCCAAGGTCGGCTCTATATTAACAGGGATCTTTCTGCCTCTGCCTCCCAAGTGCTAGAATTGCAGGCATGAGCCCCCATCTTGGTTATCCCCCATCTTAAAACAATTACCTCAGCTACTGTGTTATAATACTCTTTAGAACAGCAAGGTCAAAGGCAGGGATTACTAGGAGGGGATTACTATAACAATCCAAGAGAAAGAAGAGAGTGGTAATGGCAGAAGTGGTGAGAACTGGCCAAATTCTAGAGAGGTATGTGAGAGTTGTGTGTGTGAGCGCATGCGTGCGTGCATGCATGTGTGTGTGTCTGTGTATGTGTCTCTGTGTATTTGTGTGTGTGTGTGTGTGTCTGTGTCTGTGTCTGGTGTATGCGCTTGCATGAGTGTATTTCTTCTTGCTGTCGAGGACTGAACTCAGCACATGTTATATCACTGAGCCACATGCTCAGCCTAGATATATTTTGAAAGTAGGACCAAAAAGATTTGTTCAGAAGCTTGATGTGGACTTTGCCAGAAAATCGTCAACAAGGGCTCCAAGGTTTTGACCTGAGTGTTGTAAAGACAGCTTTGACATTAAAGCAAATAACAACAGCTGCAGAAGAAACGTGGTGGGCAGCCCCAGCAGACAGAGGGCAGGAAAGAGGGCACAAATCAAAAGGGGATTGTCACCTTTTATGCTGGGGTGCTTATCTGCTATTTAGAAATCCTGTGGAGTGCCTTAGTTACTGTTCTATTGCCATGAGGAGACACCATGACCCAGGCAACTTATAGAAGACAGCATTTCATCAGGGGCTTGGTTACAGTTTCAGGGAGTTAGTCCATGATCATCATGGCAGGAAGCATGACAACAGGTGGGCATGGTGCTGGAGAAGTAGTTGAGAGCTACCTCCTGATCCTCAGGCAGCAGGTACAAAGAGAAAGAGACTGGGCATCAAAGCCCACCCAAGTGGAACACCTCTTCCAACAAGGCCACACCTAATCCTTCCCAAACAGTTCCACTAGCTAGGGGCTAACCATGCAAATATATGAGCTTATGGGCACCGTTCTCATACCCAAAACACACATATGTGTTTGAAGTACATATGGTTTCATCTCCCATTCAAAAAGCTCCTGACACCACTCTGGTTAAAACACAGTATTTCTATTGAAATCAGGGGCCTCGTGCTGCAACAATACTAGCCAGTAACATCCAGGCACCTAAGGGTAGCAGAGCTGTGATCCTCCAAGTTAACTTTCCAGCTCATGGTAAAAATGTTCACATGACAGCCAAAGAGTTAGACACAGAACACTTTTTGTCTCTCATTAACTATGTTATAAAATATATTAGTTTCCCTGAGTTGTAACTACAATGGTTTCCAGGGCTGCCTTTATTTAAATTCTTTCATTCCTGCTGGAACATCTTCTGCATGTTTTAAATTCTCATATACCAACTGGAATAGCCATGCTCACATAAATGGATTTTCTGAGTTTGGATGACACTAAATTCAGAAATTTAAAGATAAACAGTTGTAGTCAATAATACACTATAATATGATATATGAAATACACACACACGTAAGGGAAGACTACCCTCTAAACAGACCAAATATAACAGACATTATTCTCTCTATTCCTGCTAAGAAGTTGCCAGATCCACCCAGAATATAACAATTAACATTTGTTATATAACAATTAACATTTGTCAAAGTTCACATGGTAAACAGATTATTTTGTTAAAATACAATAGCATTATTGTTAAAATAAAAGTTATTTCGTTAAAATAAAAGTGTGTTACTACCTATCATAGTTTTTATGAGCTTGGCACAAACCAAGACCTAATCACAGTTCTGCATTAGTTCCTGCCCTTTAAGATGGATGGATAGATATCCATCTTAAGAAGAATGAACAGACCTAGAACCCCTGCACAGATGAAGCCCATGGCACCTCAGTGTCCAAGAGCAATCTCTAGTAAGGGGAACAAGACTATCTCTGACATGAAATCAGTGGCTGGCTCTTTGAAAACCTTCCCCGGAGGGAGGACCAGCCTTACAAGGCCACAGAGAAAGACAATGAAGCCAACCCTGATGAAATCTGATAGGCTAGGGTCAGATAGAAGGGGGAGGAGGACCTCTCCTATCAGTGGACTTTGAGACGGACATGGGAGGAGATGAGAGAGGGAGGGTAAGGTTGGGAGGGAATGAGGGAGAGGGCTACAGCTGGAATACAAAGTGAATAAGCTGTAATTAATATTAAAAATTAATAGAAAAAGGTGAATGAACAGCCTTTAAGATAAAATGAACCCTTTCCTCCTCAAGTTGCTTTTGGTCAGTATTTCTTCACAGCAATAGAAAGCAAACTGGAATAATGTTCAATGGGAAAAACCAAGTTTTTTTTCCACTGATTTTCAACACATGTTGCACAAGAAAGTAGAAAGGTTATAAAATTATCTTCACTTAGAAAATTCCAATTCCTCATAACAACATGCTGTTACTAACTAACTAATAATAACAACAATAATAATAAACCAGCTGTTTCATTTACTTGAAGGATTGATGCCTTTACCTTATAACATAAATTCTATATATGGTAAGGCTGTAACAGTTAAGTCCTGTAGCTAGAACCAAGTCATTATGAAACAGCTCGGCTAAATTTTTATAAGGCTGAATCAAAATAAGACTTTGAAAGGAAACTGCAGCCATTCTTACAAATTTCCACAAGAGGGCAATAAACTTATATCTCATTTCATTTTTTTTTTAGGTTCCCATAGTTACAAGATTTTGTCATAATATCAAACATACGTGGATCAAAATATTGTCTATTAATCCTTTGATTTTTGTATAAAAGTCCCATTGTAGACTCTACAAAAAAGGCTTAGTAATCTATTTTTTCCATTTTATTTTCTTCAAATAAATGCAGCAAATCAGAAACTTGAATAAACCTCTTTGTTTATATACTTGGTCATTAATAAAAGATGAATTATGCATGAAGTGATGAAGCTTGTATCTAAACCATTATGGCTGAGACAGCTTATTTCTTTTAATATTCAGCAATATCTCTTCAAAACATTGCTAGGAGCAATTGTGTTCAGAAGTAAAATCATGATGATAATAGTTTAACAATAAAAGAAGTAAAAACATGATTATACCATCTAAGAAAGCCCAAACACAGTTGTACACAATCTTGTCAGTATGTATAGACATATCATGAATTTTCCATTTATTTCATTTTGGTTAGTTTTAAGTGAGTTTTTAAATGTAGATCTAAAATGTACTGAGTTAAAGCAATGGAGGCAAGATCCAGAAAGGCATTGTTCACACTTTCCTTAAATCACTGTGTAAGGGTAGAATCCTGCTATTGTTCCCAGATTCTCTTGCCTAGTAGAGCCCATAAAAGGGGCTCAGACCATCCCCCTGTTCTCACAACACCCTGTCCGTTTGGGAAACGTGGAAGCAAAGTGAAAAGCAGTGAGCATGATGCCCACATTGTGACTTTGCTGAGACGCTAACTGTAAGAGAGAGATGGGAAAAGCCTTCTTCTTTTCCTATCACTCCTTCCTCCAACACCATTGGTAGTCATAAATGCGAGCAAGGTCAAACATACCACCCCCAGCTGACGGCCATGCTGAGACGACCTACACCAGTTTTACTACAAAAACAATTTCAACCTTGCTTTCATCTGGTAAGAAAATCAGGGCCCTCATCTAATAAGCAAAGGCGCCATGTCTGAAATGATCTTTGCTCAAGTGACGTATGTGAAATAAATATCCATTTATTTATAAGAAGTACGAGGAAGGTTTTGCGTTATACAGGCACACAGCCCACCTCCTCTGGTCATTTTCTTACCCTGGCAATCTCTCCGTCTACCTATCTAACATATTTCTTCCCAGAGACTGGCTAGAGTGTTCAGACTCTCCAGCCTACCTCATTCCATCACCATTGTAGATTTAAGACCTAACATCCGCTGGGAGAGTCTTTCTAAGTCTGCCACAGGGCCTGCTCGACCTTCTGCAGGTGGTACACCGTTAAAACCCTCATGCTCTACCTGCCCTTCAGTGCCAATCCTCAGCTTGCATTCTTCCTTTCCCAAAGAAAACAAATACAGCTATCATGTTCCACAAGATGAAACCGGGCTACATTTGCCCTGCACACTACACTGAGGTCTCAGGACTCAGAGATTCTAAAATTGCCTTAACATCTCTAGTGCCTCATCCACCGTGGATGCCCAGTGACAGTTTCTTAGATGGAAAAGGCTACATGTCTAACTCACTACAAAAATGGTATCTGCCAACCAAACTTTAAAAAGTAATTTATGTCCTAGCTCACAATGTGACAAAAAAAAAAAAAAAAAAAAAGAGTAAAACAAGCCAGAAGAGATTGAGTGATTTGAATGATTTAGTCTCTCTAGAGTGCTTGGGGATGGATTAGTAGTCTTCCAGAGGCCATGAAACAAACAGAAATGGCCCCGTGAGCATTGCCACCATGGACAGGATAGGGAGAGGTGTACTCCCGTGTTCTGTGCTGTGAGAGGTGTGCTGTGAGAGGTGTGGTAAGGGAAGCAGGAAGGACAAACTTGTTCTGCAGAGCTTTCTGGGTATGTGTGTCCTTCCTCAGCTGCTGTGGGTGCCTGCTGAAAAGGTTCTTCTGAGGTCCCCCGCACCCGGTTTTTGGGCAGAGAGCCATAGATTGTCATCTGCTACAATTTCTATCGCTCCGTGAGACTACACAGACTTAGATCAAGGAAATGTGGGGGACTGAATTGGTTATAAGGGGGCTAATCATCCCCAGGAACAAAAAACAAAGTTACCTAAGCCACTCCTGTCTGAATCTGGATGAAACTAGAAAAATCTTTCAAGTATCACAGTGTGACAGCATAATTTCAAAGCCTCTGGCTTCTGAAACGCTAAGACACTTCACTAGTACATTAAACATACAAAAAAGTTATTGAAATAGCAAATGTATAAATAATTTATGTGGCACTTACTGGAGTCCATGGCATGTTGACAGGGCAACAAATGAGGCAGGGTTTCCTCGGATCTGGCCCTGGTAGTAGCAGTGCTCTCCTCCCTGGAAACATAAAAAGAGGGCGTGAGCCTGGCCACTCAGGGACACCCTGCCGCAAAGTCTCCACCGAAGGGTTCTCACATTATCACATCTCCATAGATGATGCTCTGCACAGTGTTTCATCACACAGATTGGCATGATTCAGTCAACTCCCACAGAATTATTCATAAATGTGCCTACCAAGCAGACGCCAAAGAAAAAGGCAAGGTAATAAAGACGGACTTCACTTTGCTTTTATGCAGGCGCTACCAGAAGAGCCAAGAAACAGATGCCGAGATAAGTGGGTGGCCCGTGCACCAGATAGTTTTAATAATCTACCTCCCAGTTCTGAGATATTCAATTTTGAACAACAATGAAGTGGCAAGTTTACATTCAGCTGAGCAAAAAGAAACTGGATGCATTTGATAGTCACTAGATTCTTGTGATGCAGGAAAATATCAGTTTTTATGGTGTTCCTGCTAATTTTATAGTGTTCTATCTCAAACTGGGAAATGCTTTTCTGGTAAGCAGTCTGGGGTAGAGTTTAAAACAGTTATGTGCCTTCTGTAATTGGTCATACCAATTGAATTCTACTAAGAAACTCTTTCTTGTTTGTTTGTTTGACAGTTTCTCCATGTAGCCTTGGCTGTTCTGGATCCACCTTGTAGACCAGCCTGGCCTCGAACTCACAGGCCTGCCTCTGCCTCCCCAAGTGCAAGTTCTGAGGTTAAAGGCATGAACCACCACGCCCCACTAGGAACTCATTTCTTTAAAAATGATTGAAAAGGAAACGGCATAGAAATGATCTAGCTTTCAATGGTGATGTCTTTAAATGTTTGATATTGAGAGGATGGATCCAGGGACCACAGCAGCATGGAGGGCATCAGAGCTTCTTAGAAATACAAGACCCTTGCCCAGCTGACCTACCATATCAGAATCTACATGGTAACACAGTCTGTAATGATTTATATACACATAAAAATTTGAAAAGCTCTCCTCTAAATCACCCTTTCCATTGTGCAACTAATTTATTTATTCAGTGGCAGAGAGTTTCTCATTAAAATGATATGGGATTTAAAAAAAAAGAGTTAAACAGGATGAACTGATGGAATGGATAATGGAAAGGGGAAATGTTACCTGCTGTAGTCTTCCTTAAAAACTAACCCTATTTATAATGCCCAGGGTTTGACAAGTAAACTGGTAAGAGTAAGAATAGGAAGACACAGAAGGCAGTGGGAATGAAGGCCCGATGCCACTGCCCATGAGATAACCCCGTAGTAGCGAGGAATGCTCAGTCTCTTTATTTACCAGAAAAAGATGATTATCTTGTCGGGCTGTTGTGAGATTAAACGAGCACAGGGAATAGGGAATAGAATATGTTTTGCCATGATAAGCATTCAGCATTTGCTGTCATCACTGCTATTGTTTTTCTTTTGATTTACACACATAATCTTATTAAATTCTAACATCAGTCTTAAAAGAAATAGTACAATCTCTACACTCTTCAGAAGGCTGAAACTTTTGTCTTTTATTCTTGAGATTATAATATAATTACATCACTTTTCCATTCCTTTTCCTCCCTATAAACCTTTTATATGCCACCCCTGCTCTCTCTCAAACTCTTTGGCTTTTTTTTATTAATTGCTGTTACATGAATATATGTATTTGTATATACATATGTATTCCTAAATATAACCTTCTTAGTCTGTATAATATTACTTGTATCTATATTTTCAGAGGTGACCACTGGTATTGAATAGTCAATTGGTGCCATCCAATTGCACTTCCCTGGGAAGGACTATTTCTCCCACTTTCGGCATTCCTCTGGGACTACTTCTTTGTGTAGGGCTGAGCCCTTGTGGTCTTATTCCTGTCCACTTTGGTATGTCTCCTCCTGTTATCATTATTCAGTTCATAGCGAAGCCTTCATGTTGGTGAGTCTTTACGGGTTTAGCCTCCAATATTACTGTGAAAACCAATTCATAGAAAACTCCCTGATCTTCCCTCTCTTAAAAATCTTCCTGCAACATTCCCTGAGCCTTAGGTACAGCAATGTTCTTTAGGTGTAACCATTGGGACTTGGCTCCAATACTATGCATTTTAAAAACATCTAACTTTTAAGACACAAGGCTGTCTACCCTCAAATGTGCCAAGGAGAGATGTAATACAAATAGGATGAATACAAATCCTGTATTATTTCCCCAACACTACTTATGAATTGAATCTAGAACTTGTGATTAATGTACTCCGTGTCTAAGCTTTCTTCTAGACTGAATTCTTTCACACTTTTTCTGCTATTCTACTCTATTACTTTTAGAGACAGGGTGAGTATAAATATTCTCCATTGGACTGTGGAATCCATTGATTCCATTACAAATGTGCAAGCAAACACATGATTAAAATAGTTCTTCTTTTCTGGACATATCTGATTGTACCGGAAGTAAGAACACTGTTTTCATACAGACCATACAAAAAAGTCAACAGTTGATAATGTGGCCTGTACCGAAAGGGAAGATTCTGCTTAAACTGTTTCTTTCAATGCAAACTGTGACCAACCCAAACAAATTTCTTTCTTCAGAGGTCTCAGAAGTGAACAGTAACACATGAAAAGAGAAGAAAGCAGAGAGATGAAAAGAAAAATAATCACAATAATTATGGTATTAGATTAGAACAGAGTAGAACTCAGAAATCATTATGTGAGAATATATGCTAGTGGAACAGGCTACAAGAAATATTTTATAAGTTATTACACTTTCTTTTAAATACCCACTCTGGAAACATGCCATTGTATAATAATGAGGACAAATAATTTATTTATTTTTTTCTAACTTCTAATAGTTTCATTTTATTGGTGAAGATCAAAACTCAAGTGACAGCACATGCTGGAGAGGATGTAGAGAAAGGGAACCCTCCTCCATTACTGGTGGAAGTGCAAACTTGTACAACCACTTTGGAAATCAATCTGGAGTTTTCTCAGAAAATCAGGAATAGTGCTTCCATAAGGCCCAACTATACCACTCCTGGGCATATGCTCAAAAGATGCCCCACCACTCAATAAGGACATTTGTTCAACTATGCTCATAGCAGCTTTATTTGTAATAGCCACAATCTGGAAACAACCTAGATGTCCCTCAACAGAGGAATGGATACAGAAATTGTGGTACATCTACACAATGGAATACTACTCAGCTATTAAAAAAAAAAAAAAGGAAACCATGAAATTTGCAGGCAAATGGGTGGAACTAGAAGAGATCATCCTGAGTGAGGTAACCTAGAAACAGAAAGACAGGCATGGTATACACTCACTAATAAGCAGATATTAGCTGTATAATATAGGACAGCCATCTACAGACACAAAGAGGCTAAACATTAAGGAGGACCCTAGGGAGAATACATAAATCTCATTCAGAATGGCAAACAGGATAGACACCAGTAGTGGTGGAAGAGAGGAAACAGGATGAGAGTCTATTATAGAGGGTTCTCTGAAAGGATTCACCCAACAGGGGATTGAAGTAGATGCTGACACTCAGGGACAAACTTTGGGCAGAGTGCAGGGAGTCTAATGGAGGAAGTAAGGGGTGTGATTAGAAGGACGTGGAAGGGACAGGAGGCCCACAAGGATATTTCCTTGTTTTTAATTGCTGAGTATTATTCCATTGTGTAATTGTACCACAGTTGCTTTATCCTTTGGTTGAGGAACATCTAGGTTGTTTTCAGTTCCCAGCTATGACAAATAAAGCTGCTATGAACATGGTTGAGCAAATGTCTTTGTTGTATGGTGGAGCATCTTTAGCATAAACAACCCTGTGTAATAATAGAACTTCTGGAGGTATCTTTACCTCCATGACCTCAAGCTATACTAGGGAGCAATAGTAATAAAAACTGCATGGTATTTGCATATAAATAGGCTGGTTGATCAATGGAATTGATTCAAAGACCCAGAAATAAACCCACACACCTATGCAAACCTGATTTTTGACAAAGGAGCCAAATTCATACAATGGATAAAAGACAACATCTTCAATAAATAGTGGTCTAACTGATGTCTACATGTAGAATAATGCAAATAGATCCATATTTATCACCTTTCACAAAACTCAAGTCCAAGTGGATCAAAGACCTCAACATAAAATCAGATAAACTAAATCTACTATAGGAGAAAGTGGGGAAGAGGTTTGAACTCATTGGCACAGGAGACAACTTCCTGAACAGAACACCAAAGCTCAGGCTCTAAGATCTGCAGTTAATGAATAGGACCTCTTGAAACTGAAAAGCTTCTGTAAAGCAAAGGACACTGTCAAAAGAACAAAACAGCAGCCTACAGATTGGGAAATGATTTTCACTAATCCTACATCTGACAAAGGGCTAATATCCAGAATATATAAAGAACTCAAGAAATTAAACACCAACAGACCAAACAATCCAATTAAAAAAATGGGATACAGAGCTAAACAGAGAATTCTCAACAGAGGAATCTCAAATGGTGGAGAGGCACTTAAAAAAATGCTCAACCTGTTTGGTCATCAGCAAACCAATGCAATCAAAATGACTCTGAGATTTTATTTTACACCCATCAGAATAGCTAAGATAAAAAACTAAAGAGATGGGGGCTGGAGAGATGGCTCAGAGGTTAAGAACACTTGCTGTTCTTCCAAAGGTCCTGAGTTCAATTCCCAGCAATCACATGGTGGCTCATAACCATCTATAGTAAGATCTGGTGTACAGGCAGAATGTTGTATAAATAATAAATACAACTTTAAAAAAAGAAAAAAAACTCGAGATGACACATGCTGGTGAGGATGTGGAAAGGGGGAACCCTCCTCCATGGCTGGTGGGAGTGCAAACTTGTACAACCTCTTTGGAAATCAATCTGGCGCTTTCTCAGAAAACTGAGACTAGCCACACCACAAAATTAAGTTAAAAAAAATCCGTCTACTACATTGGGCACAGTTAGATAATTAGGTAATAGAAAGCAATTTACAATTCAGAAAAAACAGGAGTCAATCCAAAAACAGCATATGATC